ATGCTCTAGGTGTTCCTAAACCTCTGACTGCCAGATGCTGAGACTGGATGAAGGGATAGACCATTTGATAATTGCCCTGTTCTGTGAATTCCCTGTGATATTCCCCATGTGTTATCTGGACCGGTGATCTGCTAGGTCACTCCAATTCCCGACTTTGGGAGCCCACTCCTGGGCTGATCACGCACAGCCTCTAGCATGTAAGCTGCTCCTTGGATTGTACAACCAAATGACACTAGCCAATATCCAGACACAACCCTAGGAACCTCCGACTTGCAGTGTCCAGTTATGCCCACTGGACACTGCAAGCTTATATGAGTTCGTCAATTTAACAAAGAAATTGATATGTACCAGGCTTGTTATCCCAAGGGGAGTCTCTGACATGCTTCAAACCAAACGCACTGCTTCCGGTAGAATAAATGAACAAATTTATTAACTACAAAAATTGACTTATAATCACTTAAAATCTAAGCACAACAAGTCGGATTTGGTCAAATGAAATAAAAGCAAAACGCATTCTAAGATGATCTTAACACTTTCAGTGCCCTTACAAACTTAGAAGCTTCTCACCACAGGCTGGCTGATGGTGTTGCTAGAGTAGATATGGGGACAGAGTAGGCAACAAGCTTTGCTACAGGGATTGGTTCCTGGGTTGGTGTTTCTGTGGTGTGGTGTGTAGTTGCTGGTGAGTATTTGCTTCAGGTTGGGGGGTTGGCCATGTCAACACTGGTTCTCCACTTGTGAGGTACTCCCTTCTCTTCATGTGTCATTATATAATGCCTGCATCTGTAACCTTCACGCCGTGCATCTGAAGAAGTGAGGTTTTTTACTAACGAAAGCTAATGCCCAAATCAATCTGTTAGTCTTTAAGGTGCCACCGGACTCCTTGTTGTTTTTGTGGATAGAGACTCACAGGGCTACCCCCTGATACTTGAATAGCAAATGTAACTTTTCTTGTCTGCATAGTAAACATTGGCATTTTTATCTGTTTGAATAATCAAAGTGGTGCTTTCCGTGCCTTCTTGGTTGCAAAGATTTGAACTGCTTTCTGCTGAAGGTCCACAGTCTGGACCAGCTCATGTTCTATTGAGATGGTTGCAAGGCCGACCAGCCTCTCCTGTGTCATTGTAGAGCGTAGATGTGTTTTTATTAACTTCAGCTTGGAGAAGCTGCATTCTCCACTGGCAACTGTTACAGGAAGTGTTAGAAGTATGCGCAGAGCAACAAAAGCATTTGGAAAGAGGGTGGTCATCTTATTTGTGCACATATATTCCAGAACAGCCTTTGGAGTTGATCCTGCTGAAATTTATCTTGAAAGGGCTCTCAGTTCATCACCTAAATCACTCGCATAAATATCGTGCATGTCAGCATGTGTCAAAACTGTCTCTAGTGCCCTGCATTGCTGGTGTAGATCTTCAGGTATAGTGAGGAGTTTTGGAATATCATACAACATACCAAATATACTGCTGTGTTTCTTGAGCTGCATGAAACATTCTTCAACTGACTGTATTGCACAATCTAGCACCTGGTTAAAGAATTCAACTTTGAATTGTTGTTTGGGGTCTCTTATGGGATTATCCCATGCCTCGTAATCAAAATGTCTTCTTCTTCAGTGACTCTTGTATTCTTGAATGGGTGGGAAAATAGCTTCAATGTGAAGTTCCTCTGCCAACTTCTGTGCACTCTTCAAAAGATTTTGAAATCCCTCATCTGACCGGTAAGACTGTAGGTATGACTTTGCTTTGTCCGGTTGTTCCATTGCTCCAGATATATCAAGGTCGACACCTTAGAGTCTCTTGCTTACAACATATATTTCAAACAGTATGTCATGCCACAACACTAAGCCACACAGAAATTTGAAGTTATGCATGTTTCTGGTGATTCCATTTACCTCTGCCACTGTTCTCTCATGAACAGTTCCTGTCATAGCATTATCCTCCATGATGGCAACTATGGCATCATCAATCTTCCCAATTTGGTGTTTGATAGGCTTTATCGCCTCCACTCGACTTTCCCATCGTGTGGCACTCAGTGGTTTCAGTGTCAGAGAGGATATTCCCAGATGTTGCTTCAAAATTTGCCATAGATGAGTTGATGCAGAGAAAAATACATAGATGCTTTGAATTACATTAAAAAAATCAGCAGCCTCACTAGAAGCTGATGCTGCATCACTGACCACCAAGTTCCATGAATGAGAACTGCATGGGACAAAAACAGCTTGAGGGTTTAACTCTCGGATCCGTGTCTGCACTCCTCTGTTCTTTCCTCTCTTGTTGGCACTATTATCGTAGCCCTGACCTCTCATGTCAGCTATTGCAATTCCCGTATCTTCCAGCTTTTTAAGAAGCACATTTGTCATACCAGCTCCTGTAGTATCATCAATGTCAATTAATTCTAGAAAATGTTCTCTGACAGTCACCATTGCAGGGACATTTTCACTAGGTTCTGTTGTTACAAAATGCACCATTAAAGTCATTTGTTCCGTATGGCTGATGTCAGGTGTGCAGTCCAGAATAACAGAGTAATATCTTGCTGACTTCAGATCTGCCACAATCTTCTGTTTGACTTTTGTTGCCAGTAACTGTATGATCTCATTTTGAATTGTTTTTTCAAGGTAGTGGTGTGTGTACATTTCTTGGCTGGTGACTCTTCTTAGATGCTCCTGGAGTACAGCATCAAACTCAGCCATCAGCTCCACAATTTTAAGGAAGTTTCCATTGTTTGGCACATACAGCTGATCTGAAGTTCCACACAGTGCTAGATTTTGTGTAGCAAGCATTCTCACAATCGCAATGAGCCTTTTCAGAAATTTTGCCAGTAAAGAGACTCTGATGCAATCTTCTCTTGATGCTGATAATCTATGGTGGCCTTTAACTGTAGTCTCATCTCAAGCTTTTTCCACCTATGGAATGCTCTCTAGTGACTTGCTGCCTTCTCATGGCATGCCAGATTTCTAGCCCGATTTTTCCAGTCCTTTGTTCCTGTAGAACCCAATGTGGCTGGAACATTAGACTGGAAGAGTTTGCAACAAAAGCAGTATGCAGCATTCTGGGTTTTTGAGTACATAAGCCATGGCCTCTCCACTTTGTCACCATTGGGGATTTCATGCCAGTAATGTGTTGGATGGAAACTTCTATTTTCATTGTCTTTGGGGAACATGACGTTTTTCCACTTGCTGTGGCCCATGCAGTACAAGGAAGTCCCTCAGGCTACTGCTCAAGTGGGTCCACAGTCCTAGACTTAAGGAACTAAACTCAGCAGCAGCTGTTTCTTGAGCCTCCACCACACTCTTCTCTGATCTACACTTTTCTTCAGGAATGTGCATGGTTACATCCATTTGAGATGGAGATATGGATGCTGCAGTAGCTGCCAGGTCACCTGCACTCTGACTAACTGGAAGATCAGGCATCTCCTCACCACTCACATCCTCACTGGGGGCGGAAGGCTCACCGTGAACATTTGCATCTATGTATCTCAGGAGAGCTCCTTCCTGCTTAGATAGAAAAGCTTCCTTTGCTTTCTTTCTTGTTCTGAATGCTGCCCCAGAAGGACGTTTTCTTCTTTCACTCATGACTGCTGGTCTGTGCCAGCTATAGTGGCTCTCAACACTCAACTGAAGGGGACAAATAAGCAGGCTGGTATCAGGGCCTGAGTGAGGGAAGATATCAGCGTCTTAAAGGCCTAACTGCCTCCTACTACTTCAGTTGACTGCCTGTTCTCCGCAAGTGGGTTCAGGGAAGCAGCAGGAAACAGGAAGCTCCCTGAGAAGCTGGTGTTAATCAGTCCAGGCTCCTGGGGGTGCTAGAGAGGTACATAAGAGGCTCCTCCTCCTCCTCCTCTCTCTCCCTGCAGCTCCTGCTGCTTTCTGTTATTCCCTCTCACCTTTTCTCCTGCCTGCCTGTTATGTCTCTTGTGCCCTCCTTCCTCCAGCACAGCACTCCACCATCTCTGTGCATCTAGAGCAGAGAGAATACATATGCACCAGCAGCAAACACAATTTTCTACACTCTGTGTCCTAGTGGCGCCCCACCACAGTCTGGCACCTGAGGCGGCTGCCTCAGTTCGCCTCATGATAAGGCCAGCGCTGTCCATCACAGACTTTAAATCCTTACTAAACCTCTAAACATATTCAGCCACTGGCCCCCCTTTAACCTCAGTACCACCCTGCCAGGAGTCTATGATGAAATCCAAGGGACTTTTGACCTTTCTCCCACACAGGATATCAAATGGGAGTCCTTGTGGACTTTTGGGGTACTTCCCGCTAAGCTAATAACAGATAGGGTAACATTATATCCCAGCCATTTGCCCTCTTGGTTGCATTTATTCCCAGCAGAGTTTTTAGAGTCCCATAAAAACCTTTCAACTGAACCACTTGTCTCTGGGTGATATGGAGTAGATCTCAGCTGTTTTACCCCACATATTCTCCATAATTTAGTAAATAACTGGGAGATGAAATCTGATCCATAATCTGACATGGTCTCCTTTGGAAAATCTACTCAGCTGAAAATAGTGAACAGAGCCGTAGCCACTGTGTCAGCCTCTATATTAGACAGCGCAACTCCCTCTGAGTATCTGTGAGATACACCAAAAATGACATGTGTGATAGTCATAAAAATGGTACTGAGTGCATTAGTCCACCAGTATTTCCAGTGCTGCAGCATCTTTCCCTGATGTTCTACTTTAAGGTGTGACAAAGTGGTAGCCTTTATATCTGAATGTTAATGTATGACAATGCTAACCTGAGACCACAAGCAAAATACCAATCACTGTTCTTCCTAAACAATGCTGTTAAAAGAAATGAAACTTTTCTCATTTTCTAAAATGTACTGGCTGAACCTTGGGAAACAGTAATTTGCTGATAGTAAGGGGAAAAAAAAATAACCATAACCAGAGTCAATGCATAATTAGATACAGTAAAAGCAATGCAGTCCTCAGTGAACATGTGAAAAATAGTTGTTTACAAGTGCCTAATGGGGGGGGGGGGGGGGAAGGAATATACTCACTGGTTCCACTGATGACATCAGGTTTGGCTTTCATGATTTTGCAAAACTGTCTTCTACAGTTTTCAATCCACACTGGCTGTTTTTCTGGATTTTTTAAGGATGCCAACAGCTTGTTGAGATCACTATCTAAAATAAAAACGAAACACACATTGTGTTTTTTTATAACACAAATCAGCTTTACCATAGCAACATTTTTAAAAATAAACAGTAAAAAAGATACAAGCTACAGACAGGCCTGAGGGCTACCGCTCCTTAGCTTCACAGGGAGTGAGTACAGACACTAGTACTGTTCAGAGAGGAACAGGAAACTCAGCTGACTCCTCCATCTCTTTGCTATTATCTTAGCCAATGTTTGAGCAGCCCTCAAATGCGCTCACGGAAAAAAAGATTGTTCAGCACTCCATAAATAACAATCATGTATATCCCATGCTGGCTGTTCACCATCACATGGGGGACGTAACCAATCCAACTGTGGAGATAGGAAGCAGGATTTTTTGTGCTTTATCCCAGGTCTTTGTACCCACCACATCTGATGGGGGACTCTGGGTCATGTCTCACCTCCAGAATTCCCACACCACCTCCTACTGAGAATGGGGAAGTGCCTTGACACTGGCATTCGTAAGTGCTGCTGTTGAAGAGTATTTGGCTTTTTTCAGGAGTGCACCTGAGCCTGGACACATCTTACTAAAGGATCAGTGCCTTGATTATCCCCTTTCTAGGTTTTAAAAGTAACTCTTCAGAAATGAAGTCAGGCAATTGCAAGTGACTTATCTTTAGGAATCAACAAACTATCTTGTTTGTTTTAGCAAGAAAATGACCTTTTACAAATGTTCTTATTTTTTACTTCTTAATAATACCTTAAAATTCAATTTTAAATTATCCTACAGCAAAAACACTTCTTGCAAGTAACCTTATTGCTTTGAACCGAGCGAGGATATTTATTTTTTGGTTTTCACAGAATTCTTACATTGCACGTCATTTATTTTAAACCAGTCTCAGGATTTTAACAGTTTACTCATTATAAATTGTTTCCCTGTCACTGGGATTTATTTAACCAATTCAGAATAAATCAGAAAAGCTGATTACACTACTTAACTGTTAACATTAATAATTCTTCCAAATTAATTAACAAGGAAATTCCCTTGTTATCTCCAAATAATTAAATCCTCAGTCAATGTCTTTCCAAATAATATGTGCTGACTTTAATAGTTGGTTATGAGAGCCTGAATATTTAATGTGAGGCAGGATTATAGGACTTGTAGTCGTTTCTTTCCCCTTTGCTGTAATATGTTGCAAAGGCTAGGGTTTAAGATAATTTCAGAACAGTGCAGAAGTATCAATTTACAAGTTAATTAGTTATTTTGCTTTACAAAGTCTTCTGGTGGAATTAAAGTTGGCAACTAAGGATCGGCTGGTATGTAGTTATACCCAGATGTACAGACACTCTTTTCTTAACCTGTGTTTAATATAATCTTTTAACATTAGCTTTAATAAACATTTTAAATCTGAGATTTTTGTTGCAGGAGAGCAAAATAAAAGATCAGGGTGAAATCCTGACTCCATTGAAGTCAATGGCACAATTCCCAATGACTCAACAGAGCTAGGATTTCATCCATTTCACCAACGCTGCTGGTTCCTCCTGGTCTCTTAATCTGATTTTTTGTCTCTTATCTCTCTTCACATAGTTACTCAGTCAGTCTCGATGGCTTTTTCAGTAATGTTTTTCTACATGTTCTGTTTTATTCCTGTCTCTCGCCTATAGTCTTTACAACAATTGAGTCTTCACTGTGCTTAGGTTATGCCTCCCAGAATTCTGCCTCCACTTTATATCCACACAATCTCTTCACAAATCACAGTCAATCATGCAGATAGAGTTTAGTGATAAACTCATTCCTGGAACTTCATTCCCCAAAACACTTCATCTGATCTTGCAAAAGCAGCTAGCATCTGGCTTGCTCATGTCTCATACAGCTGATATGCACAAAAAGTACCAGTGGAGTCAGTGGACACAAGACCTTGCAATGTAACTTTTTTGTGGGTGTAACATTTTGCAATTCTATGTCACATGATCAGAGAGAGAAAAAAAAAAAAGGCCAGACTCTTATCAGCATTCCTGTATATAACACCCTTACTGCAGCACAGGTAGAAGTTTCTCTCAGTGCTTGGAAAGAGTCCAAATGTCAGACAAGAACCTTTCTGAAGATTCTTTTTTTTTTTTTTTTAAGTAAATCTCCAACTGGAAAGAAAATCTCAAAAATGTGAACAAAGTGTAGTTGATGTAGAGATGCCTACTTGAGTCTGCAGAGGGTCTGGAAAGGTGAATGGCTCTGAGAGGTGTAAATTGCCCCATTTCACCTCATTGAAGTGTTAACTCGGAGAGACAGATTATAATTTGTATGTCAACATTGTTAACTTTCCTTTCTCATGTAACAAAGGACAGATCTGAACAATTCACTCTGAGTGACATCTCATTTTGATGCTACAAATGGTGTTTGGGGGATATCCCCTCCCTCCCCCCCCAAAAAAATAAAATGGTGAAGGAACCAAACCCAAGGAGTCTAGCACAGCTCAGAGGCATATTCAGGCTCCACCAATGGGGAGCCAAGATCTAGGAGCCAAGAGGCACGCATAATCATGTCTTTATATCTGCATTAGGTACTGTGAGAACAGTCTCATTTTGGCACATGGATGGAGTGTATTTTATGGACAGAATTTCAAGGATTATCACCATCTCTTTTCCTCCACGCAGGTTTCTCTTAACAGTTTGTAGTTAAATAGACAATGTCATTTCTTCCAACTTAGAATGTAAAATATATTTCAGTTGATTCTGTAATAAACCAACTGATCTTGATTTAACTTTTGAATTGCAATGGTTCCCTCCAACAGAACTTGTGAGAAAATAGTTAAGTTTCAGAAGTTGCTAGGCAAGAGTATCCTGCCCTAAGGCTATGATCAGCCAGTTAGAACTCCAATTACATAATACATCTATGATGTGCTCTATTGGTTAAGTGGGTTAGTACTCAATTTCCTGCAGTGCATTTGTATATGTACAGTTTCTCTGAAACTGGTCTGAACCAGAACATTGTAGCTCTCCTAAAGTTAAATTAATCTCTCTCCATAAAAGAAACTACTTTCTAATTCTCCTCCAAACTCTACTATTACTCAGATAGCTTTTGTGTCTAAAGTGTCTTGGCATGAACTAGGGAACATAAATGCCACAAGCCTTTATATCTGATTGCTTTTATTGTGAAAATCTGAATGAGTTTCTTCTGCATTCAAGGGACAATAGCAAAGTCTCACTGTGATCAATTTAAAACCTGCAAATTCACATGGATAATAACCAAAATAATAAGCCTAATGGGCAAAGTGTCCAACTTATAATTCACAAGCTATTGAATACAAATCCTATTAAGGGTATTTTTTAACTAAAGACTTTATACAAGGTTTTTCTCTCAGTGTCAACTGGGTCACCATTTAATTATCTTTATCAGCTGTCTTAAAATGGTGGACAAAGGACGGAAGCAGGGAAGGAAGACCAGGTCATAGAAGAGAAATGCAGGTGAGGAAGATAGTTGTGTTCAGAGTTTTGAGCAGGGCACCAGGAAGACAGAAATAGCTGGTAACTGGAGCGAGGGAGGAAAGAGCAGGACAGCTTGATGATAGGATTGAGGAGTATGTAAAGGGTGTGGGGCTGGGTAAAGGAGGGAAGCAGAATCCAAAAAGGGCAAGTCCTTAGAGAAGTAGGTGCTCCCCACCCCAAAAGTTGAAGGAAAAGCTCTAGATAGAGGGAGGGGAAAGCTCAGGGAACAAGGGCTGAGGGGGGGTGTATGGGTAAAAGGTTCTGAGCAGAGAAACAGGGTTGGGAACAGGGTCTGAAGAGGTCTGTTGTGGGGATTCTAGGCTTTGAGAGGCAGAAAAAGAAGGAAGCTTTGGGAGCAGCGGCTGATGAGGTCTGTGTGTGGAGGGTCCTGAGCTGTGGGATTGCTGCTCTAGGAACTTCATGAACTCTATATGGCTAGATTTCCAGTCTTGCACAGGTCCTGAACTATACTGGAGGCCTAATGCTCCCACCTTGCACAGTTCCTTAGCTAGAGAGGAGAGAATGACAGTGGGGTCTTTGGCGCAATAGAGGAGCAAATGTTACTGTAGACAACACGAGGATGTTGTACACTCACAATGGAAAAACAGAAAAGTTGGGAGCGGAGGTGGTCCATGCAATTCTAAATAGAAAAGAAGTTTCACTGAGATAACTATCTACACACCAGAAAGTTTGAGAAACCCTGATCTTTATCATCAAAACATACTGCTCCTGAAAATTAGACAATGCATCTATTAAATGTAATTTTGCATGTGACAAGAAATGCAAAATGCAAATTAAAAGCATAAATCATGATAAGTTAATTTTATTTTTAGTATTATTTTGCTTGGAATAACTTATGGTATCGTTAATACCACAGATAAAGAAATCTCACTTATTTTTAATTTGGTATTGCCCCTAAACAACAAGAGGATTGTGTGTATCATTCTAAACACTTACCCCTTAGCAGTTCTACCCCAAATTATATTACTGAAATATAATTGAACACTTAAAATAAAAGAAAAGTAACAGGGTATCTTGCTACAGTGTAAATAGGTGGAATTTACATAATTTATTTCCTCATGCAAATAATGGCCTAAGTCATTTGAAGTTTCATCATAAATTATGTTTCAAATTCACACTAACAGAAGAGACACACAATATATTATTCTCCAGTGCTTCAGCCTGTAGGTATCTAACTCCTCGCTGTGATAATTCATGCAAATAAATCACATTTTATGATTTTATTTTCCACATATCCTTTCCTAACAAAACAGAAACCACATAGACAAATGCCTAGCACCTGCCAGAACAGAGTAGCTTCTGGGAAAGTTTGAAGCAGTATGTCCTTTGGGTAAATCCTGCCAGCTCAAGTTTCTGCCATAAAGGGGAGCTGGGTGATATTTCTGCCTGCATCACAAGAACCTCATTTTCAATCCAGTGAACAAAGATGTCTGGTTGCCACAAAGGGCTCATCATTAAGAGAAAAGGCTCTCTTCCTTCATATTCCCCATTTATTGAAAGGGTATGTTCTGCACAAGGCAGGTTAAAACCACTGGAAATGTTTTTGACTATAATCTTTCCATGCAAAGCTACAGGTCCAAGATGGCATGAAAATGTTTTCACTTTTCACAGAATGCACATGTATTTATCTTTCAACAGCTTCAAATGAGTTCAGGGTGACAAGGCTTGAATATTTTAATTCCCTTTTAGTAGGGCTTCCATCAGCGTTCTCACCTTACAGTAAATACTGAGTCCAACTGTACACCTGCTGAGTAGCTGTGATCATGTTACGCACATCCTGCATTCTTTGATGGCTGTCTATAAAGTGACAGACTGACTTTATACTGTCTTTGGTGGTCTATAAACTCTTACAACAGGGGAGAAACCTAGCTATTTTTGGGAACTCCTCTGTGAATCTGACAGGTATCTACATGCTGACACTACCCACAATAGCTTTGCAGATTATTTGGTTTTACTGTAGCAACAACAAAATGCAGAACTTGCTCCCCTGGACATCCATCCATCTTAGCTTATTCACCCCTGCATTGTAACATGGTATCGCAGAACTTTACTTTTTCAGGCATTTTCAGCTTTAAATCGTTTTGAAGCCCCCACATTCCTTTTAAAATATCATCAAATTGTTTGACTTTTTAAATAGTTTATCCAGTTTTCTTATATTTGTTTTACAAAATTATTAGTCACAATTTCTTTAAAATGGTTGTGAGCACCTTAGCAAGGGGGTAAGTGGTGATATAGGAGTAACTACAGTATTATTACTGTTATCAATAGTTACTGGATGTCAAGAAGCTTGACATCTAAAATGTGTCTGATATGATAAGGGCTTGCTATGCTAAGTAATGAATGAGCTCAATGACTATGGCAGACAAATTTCATATAAGTGGATGAATCACAGAAATAATAACCCATTTGAATCATTCTGACAATTGTTATTTTAAAAGGAATCTCTTTTCCATTTGTTGGTGATTTTACTCCCAGAAGGCACAAGCTTGTCTTTAAGAAGAGAGTTATGAACTAGAATTCACTTAATGTGTACCAGGCCTTCAAAGGATTTATAAACTCATACCTGAGAGTTGACAGCTGGGATTCAGTGACCCCAATGGAATCCCATTAAACTTATTCTATTTATTTATGTATTTATTAAGTAAACAAATAAATACATAAATACATAAATAAATAGAATATCATTCCTCACCCCAGAACTTTCACTGTCTTCCACCCATGCAAAACATATTTATTTTAACAAGTAAACAGTATCAGGCTGCTGTCTGCATCTCATAACAATGCCATCCTTGGAATGTGCATGTGCATGACAAGAATGGTCAGCAGTGCTTCCCGTATTATAGGCTTCAGGCCAAAGCACTAACAGGAGTTCCTGATGCACCGCAGGCTTCTCCAACAAAAGACGAACAGGAGCCACTGCTCTGTTTCGTCCAGTGGGGAAAAGGGGACCAGTTGCCCTTGAGGTCCTTGCCAGAGGGGACAGCGAATAGGAGACACTGGTCCAGACTTCCTCCTCTTCTCCATAGGGTTGGAGAGAGAAGCGGCACAGACCACCAGTGAACTGCAAGAGGTGAGAAAAAAATTTTTGCACTCTTAGCCGGCAGGTAATAACATTTCTCTGCCCCTTTGGGGCTAGAAGCACAGGTGTGTGTGTGTGGAGGGGGGGAGGGAAAGAGGGGGCAAACTGTCCTAGCTGGCTCCAGAATGGTTTCATTAATGGGGAGAGCTATTCTGTTGGGTCTGGGAGCATGCAGAATGCCTACGAGTTTGTGCTGGGAGTCTTGGATCTCCTCGAAAGGAATCTAAAGTTCTTCAGCAACTCTGCAGAGACGGTCCTGGAATTTCCTGAAGTCATGGGGGGCGAGGAGGGGATGTAGAAGTCACCACTTTGTCTTGGGATGACGATGCCAGTCTTGCAGGTTCTGGCAGAACCGCTGGATCTGGAGCTTAATGTTCCTCCTCCTCTGTCGGATCTGGTGACAGATCTGAGCATTCCCTTGGTGGGAGGGGAGACAAGAAGTGACTCCTTGGCAGATTGGATCGACTCTGTAGGAGGGTACTCTTCCCAAGCCTCCAATATGGCCAGTTGGAGGGGTCGATAGGTGGTTGCGGGGGGCCCCTATGGTGTGGGGTACCAGCAGCTCTGAGTTAGATGAGGCGGAGGTTGGTCTCAAACCAGTGCAGGTCTTTTGGGTAGTGGAGGACATGTAGGGTAAGGGAAGAGTATTTCATTGGATGGCTCAGAATCTCCCAATGAGGAGAAGGCTGATTCTGGTTCCAGTGGCAATACCATTGGTGCTGTTGAAGGGGAGGTGTATTCTGTGTATGGGCAGGGTGATCAGCTCCTTCCAGCAGTCAATTCTCTCAGAGGTGATATTATCCCTCTGGAAATGGAGGGCCCCAATGGAGAAGGGGATTCTGGATTCAGAAGAGCGAAAATGTCTTGTGGGGATGGCCACAGATTCAGCTCTCCCCAATGTGAGAGGGGTTCTTCTTGTCCAGACCATCGGAGCCGGCAAGGAGGGTGGTATCTGCAGTTGGCAGTGACCGGAATCCGTTGGTGCTGACAGATCCTGGGGTTTGGGAGGAGCCGGGGATAACAGTACTGACAGAACATGAGCTTGTGCTTTCTGGTCATGCGACTGGAACTCAGTATATCCTAAGTTCTCCTGGGCTGAGTTGGTGGGCTTGTTTACAGCGGAGTCCAATTTCTTTGAAGTGGACTTAGAGGAAAACTCATGCTTATGAGAGTACTTCCTAGCATCCCAACAAGACCCCACCTTGGGGTTTGTGGGGGGTAATTCTCCCACACCAGAGTCGGACTTCACAGCAGGAGGCCCACTCCTTGCTGAATCAGGCCGAACCGCAGCCACTGGGAGCTGCGGGCAGCCATGCCTGAGGACGGTCAATGTAAACACTGTCTCACGGCCCACCAGCGGATTACCTTGACGGGCCGCAGATTGCCCACCACTGCCTTATAATCACTTAAAATCTATCTTTTGTAGGTAATAAACTTATTTTGTTTTGTCTAAAACCAGTGTGTTGAAATCATAACTTGGAGCAGAAAGCTGTGTATATTCCTGTCCACATTGAGAGAGAGAGGGCGAATTTCATGAGCTTACGCTGCACAGTTCTCTGTGAAGCGCAAGACGGTATAATTTTGGGTTTACACTCCAGAGGGAGGTGCATGCCTTAGGAACTGGGAGGTGCCTTAACTGAGCCTTCCCATGCAGAGTTGATTTCAGCCTGTGTGTGTATAGCTGCAGCTAGGTGTGTCCCTACCTGTTTGTGTGCTGGTAAAGTGCAGTGTGACACCTGGGGGAGGGCTTTGCAGGCTGCACAGCAGTGCAGTGTAAATGGAGCCCAGGCTGATGGGCTCAGTGGTACCCCAGTTCCAGGTGACACCCCTGGGGTGGGGGAACCCCTCACACTATTTACAGAGATAAAGTTCCCACTCTTCTCAGGTACAGCTAGGGAACAACTGGAAGATACTGCATCTTGCCAATGTGAGCTTCCCCAAGGCAGTACAGGCAGTGTTGGTGGTCATCACTGACACAGAAGAATCGCGGGCAGGAAGCAGAGAGTTTAAATTCTGGAGTACTGGGCATAGTCCAGTAACCGAACAGGGTACAGGGATGGAGGGGGAAATGCCCCTGGGAAACTATTCTAATGCTAAACAATTAAAACTATTAAAAACTAGTAGTTTTTACTACTAAAATAGTAAAAAATACTATTATTTTTATTTTGTAGAATGAAGCCAAAGATGCAGACAACGACAGGTCCCAATCCAGACCATGAAGTGGTGAGAAGGAACTCGAGAGGCAGTCATTCCTCCCAACACTTTATTTCCTCGGTTGGAGGCACATGGTGAGCCAGGGCACACGCATGGACCAACAGAGACTGGTTTCAAATTCTCCAGCCCTGGCACATGGTGCATAACCCAGGGTATCATAAATCATACAATCAGGGGAAGAAATCTATACCATGTGAGTTATGCAATTATTTTGCTTAGTCTAATTTCTGAGTATTCACAATTTGAATAATTGTGAATGACCAAGAGAGAAAGAATTATTTGCTGAATATATTTACAAATAATTTCTCATCATGAATACATCTGAGTATGTTGTGATCTGTTGACGGATAACTGAACAGGCAAATTCCACATGAGAAATTATTCATTATAAATTATTCACCAAGTTCTAGTGTACTATGTGCTCAATATAAAACCTTAAGATGGTTTCTGTATATGCTTTGTCTAGATGAATCTACAACAGACTACTCACTTTGCATACATTCCACAGATTCTCAGTGCAAGAACAAACTGTTATAAACATTGTCTGTTTCACAGACCACCACGCTCTGCAAACAGAGACCCAAATCAAGAAACGGAGTACAAAAGAAATCCTGTATCTTAAACATATTGTTTTACTCCAGCTGCCAAACAAGATGATACGTTTATGTCTCATGTGTCTCCCACCTGAGCTTAGCCAAAAGGTTAATCTTGAAGTTTGCATAAGAAATGGATTACTAAACAGAGCTTTTCAGAATGATTGGTATACAAAGCAACACAACTAAAAACAAATTAACCCATTTGGCCACAAATGGTTCCAATAATATAAATCCCAGGCTATTTATAAGATTTCATTCCAAGAAAAGAATGAAAATAAACTGACATAAGATGTTTGTTTGGCATCTGAACTATTAATATGTTTAGTACCTTGTCTAAAATCAGCTTTCTTAGGAGCTTCTGAAAAATAGCACCTTGGCAAGGGGTATGATGAAAACATTGGCCAGGGATATGGATCAGTGCCCTAGAAAAAAAGAACCAGAACAAAGTGATATTAGGAGGTAAATTAATAGTAGTTTACCCGACTCATCCACAGGTAAAGTTTGCCTATTGTACAATGAATCTCCAACAGATTTGTCAGAATTATTGACACTACAATTTAACTGTATGATTTTCTATAATTAAAAGAAAAAGTAATATGAAATCCAATAAGTATATGAGCCAGAAGGTTTAAGCAACTTGCTCTGGTAACTATTGTTAACAATTCTGAATTTAATATTTTTTCATTGAAAGGAAAATTATAGCTTTCAAAAGAAATACTGTATTTCCAATTTTATACATTGATCTAGTTGTCTTTTCTGTGCTGACAGTAATTTCCATCTTCTCCTTATGAGTGTGACAGTCAGTAGAAAACCATAGCACTTAACAAAAGAACCTGCTTAACAAATACTGCACTGTGAGAATACTGATGAGAGATACAGGTATTTGATAGTGCAGATGAAATGCAAGCAGGTTAAAACCATAGGCATATATTTGAGAGGGCAGTTCTAGCTTGGCCAACGGGACCGCGCCTGGGGGGCAAATTCCGTACCTGCCCAAGACTTGCAATTTCGGGGGGTCATGCCCCCCATACCCCTCCCAAACTATGCCCATAGGTTAAAAAAATCTGATAAAAGGAAGATATTGCAGATAGAAATCTATTAATTAAAGAATTAAAAAAAAATCACTTCCACAGTTAGAGAAACAGATTTTTAATTTAAAAAAATGATAACCTGACATGAACATGGCATTACCTGAGCACTTAGTAGCCCACTGACACTAGAAATAACATCTTTGCTAAGCAAATCTCTTCTTACAATGGAAGGTGTTAACACTCTTGATGTGCAGGCAGTTGTTGTCTCTTGATGCTAAATAATATTTATATTGTGAATTAGCAGTAGGAATACTTAAGTCCTAGGACCAACACACTAACCTTATTTAGTACTCTTTGAGGCAAAATCCGTTCCACTGGTCCTCCCATAAAATTTATCCTAACAAGAATATGGTTTGTCTCTACCGATATCCCATCAATTATAAAATTTCTGAAAAAAACAAAACAAACAAACTTGATTTACCTTTGAGTGCTGCTCTCAGAAAATATTCAAGGATGCTAATCATTCTAGGAACAAACTATAATTATAGAGCTAGATTGTGACTAGGACTACATACTTGTTGTGTAAGGAAAAATCTATACAATAAGATTCCAGGATTGTCACTCTAAGACTAGAATATCTGTTGAGTCAGACTGAAGCAACAGCTACAAGCATGGTTGAGTGCTCTTTTTGTTCAGACTATCCCAAGGTTCAATCATCACTGGGATCTGCAGTTCATGTCAGCCATTTTGACTTTATGAATTATACCTATGTGACAGCAAGCCATGCATCTATTCCATGCCAAGAGTCCTAGATCATTGTGATATCAGAGGTAACTCAATCACCACCTTAAAGCTAATTTGCATGCAACAATTTCATTGGCTGTATGAGGGAGACTGCACAGATTGTGGATTACTTGTCCCAACTGCTACACGTAAAGCATCCACCCACACAACAACAAAACCAGCACTCACAATAACGCCAAACACACAGAGCCCCTCATGACAGTATACATGCAACTCACACAAATCAACACAAATCTCCCAGCACAGCCCTCCAGAGACAAATCAACACAGCCAGCACACAGAATAACCCCAAACACACATAACCCTGCACTACAGTGTACACCCCACACTGCAGTGCACACAACTCTCTTTCACCACCCAATCAAATCAACAGAAAACTACCAGCCAACACACACTCCCCAGCCCTCAGACATACTTACCATAAAACCATAAACTTGAGTAGCAAAGTCATTCGAACTTCACAAATTACATCCGTGCTACAGCATGGGCTTTCAGCTACTAGTAGGGCAGTAAAAACAACTCTCACATCCCTAAGTTGGCTAAAGGAACCTGGGGTCTTGGGCATGTAGGAATAAGTAGGCTCTGCATGCCTACTTCCCACCTGAGGCAGAATAGAAGCAAGTGGGTGGGTTGGGATGGAGAATTTGGGGGACCCTTGGTTACACCTGCCAATTCAGTGGCGAGAGCACCTGAGCTCAAGTGGGGGTTTTAAAATTTGCTGCTGATATAGGCCAGAAGCAAATTACTACTCCAGGAGCAAAATAAAGCATGGAGGGCATAGTGATTTAGAGCTTACATGCCACCCCTTGTTCAAGACTGTGCCTAAAGTCACAATCTAGCCCAAAGGAAATTTGTTTTAGAAAGGAAAAACACTTTCACTTTTCATATACAGAGTCTGCTATAAGAACAGTGTGTAGCCATTATTTAGAAAGATAATAGGCCGAATCCTCACTTGGTATAAATCAACGACATACACCAGTTGAGGATCTAGGCCATAGTATTAGAGTCTCAGCTCTATACCGATCACATATGTAAACACTGTGACAAGTTCTTAATGTGCAACATACTGAGAGAGCTAAAGAACAAATTGACTTCTAATTTTAGTAATGTTCCATCACTCTATGCTGTGTGGGGCTGCACTGCAGGCCTCTCTAAGGAGAACGTGGTCTATTTACACAAGATAATTTTACTTTGGTAATTAGCAATTAGAAGTCATAAGAGGAGGAGAGAGGGCTGAGGTTACAAAGAGGAAAATTCAAGGTATATTTATTTGTACATATCAGATCTTGTAGCGGGGCGGTCACCCCGCTCCGGCTAAGTAGGGGTTAAAAGCCAGCCATTGGAGAGGGCCGGGGCTGAGAGAAAAGGCTAGGCTGATTGGGGAAACAGCCACAGCTGGGGCCATGCCCCAATCAGGCCACAGCTGGCCCTGTAAAAGGGCTGTGAGCCAGGAGCTCACACACACACACTCTCTCTCTAGCTTATGAGAGAGAAGGACCTGGCTGCCTAGGAGCTGGGTAGGGTACCTGAGGTGAGGCAGTGCTGGGGAAGGGCAGAGGGAGCTGGGGAGCTTCAGCCAGATAAAACCCCAGGCTGCAGGCAAGGTGGGGATAGCGGGTTGGGGGTTCCCCAGGGAGGGGAGACCCAGATTGTGGGTTACTGCAGGGGGCAGAACCCTGATGTAAAAGGGCACCGAGGTCCGGGAGGCACACGGGGGCCAGCGACAGGCGAGACACCGGCCTACAGAGGGTGCTCCGGGGCTGGTGAAGAGCTAATTCCCAAGACTACCAGCAGGAGGTGTCGCACAGGTGAGTCCTCGCCCCACCGCAGACCTTTATAAGGGTCCTTTAATAACACAACTTGACAATCACATTTACATCTGAAAATGTTGTGCCTGCTATTATTACAAGTTGCCTTTAGGATTATTGTATATTAAAGAGACTAAAGACAACATATTTCTCTCTTTTTCAGTTTGTTAATTTTGCATTTTTTTTACTATTAAAGATTAAGGCCTCAATCTTGCAAACATGCATGTAAATAATTTTACATATGTTAGGAGTCTAGTTGATTTCAATTGGAGTATTTGTATGAATAAAGCTATTCAGATGTGTAAGTATTTGCTGGACTGAGTCTAAATAACATCATATTTATATTGATCATTTCTTACCCAGGTCCTTCAGAAGATTCTATGATGTTCTCCTTCTGGGCATTTAGAAGCACTTGGGATACTTTATATTGAGACTCTAAAAGTAGAAGTGTATCTAGATCACAGCACAGCACACTTAACAACCTGTAGAAGGACACACATTGAAATAACAGCATGATTTAGGAATCTGTTAATACAGACTAAGGCAGACCAGAATAAACATGAGATCTCAAAGTAAAAAAAAAGTGCTTTAAGACATAGGTGCTGGAACTAGGAGTGCTGGGGGAGCGGCAGCACTCCCTGGTTTGAAGTGGTTTCCATCATTTGGAGGGGTTACATTTTTGTTTTAATGGCTTTCATCACCCTTACTATAAAAGTTGTTCCAGTATCTATGCTTTAAGAAACCTGGACAGAACTAAGAGACAAAGCATTCCTTTATATCCCTTTAGTAGCCACTCTGTTTGCTCAGGGTTATGCAACTAGAGACTAGCTCCCAATAGATTTTTAATTTATACTGAACAACTGTAAAAAACCATTCACAAACATATGCTGGTCAGCTTAGTCTGCTGACTGCACCTCACAGAAAACAAGCATGATGTGGAATTAATAAAACAACCAATGCTCTGAAATGTCAAAAAATGATACAACACTGACTAAGTTCCTGATGTAACTTCTAATTAAGTTCAGTTGAAAAAGAGTCAAGATAAAAAAACACAAATTTATATTCTCTACTGTAAGTACTCTATTGTTTAGTCAAATTTCATGCAAAGATCAAAGACATCAAAAGATTTAGCATGCAATTAAAACAATGCATCTGTTATTTTTTTATGTCAGAACATTCTGGGAGGTAAAGGTAATAATCTCCAGAACACATGACAGCAAGTTAAGTACAATTTTATTTTATAACATCAGGCAAAATTCACAATGATAAATGGTCTCTTTCTAGCTTGATGTTACCTATTGTAGAATTTGAGGTATCACCAGGATAATATATGAAGCACTGAAATTGTAAACTTTTTTGTATTTTTTGCATAAATCTGATTACTGTAACATCACATCAAAAATTATTTAATCGGAAGTGCCCTATTTATGGAAAAATATATCACTAAAATTCTTGTTGCTGCTTTCATTCTTTTATCATAGAAGTAAAACACATCATGAATAACATCTGACTAGCATTACATTTTTCATTCACATAATATCGGATGTAACCTAGGGAAATACATATTATTTGACATTTGTATCTGTTAGTCAGTGTTCTCAATATGTTTCTATTGAAAACAGGAAAAATTCAGGAGCCATACTCGCAATAATTTAATACCTGCATATTCAAGTGATGATAACCAAGGAATGCATAACCAAAATGACTATTCTTAACTCAGATCTGCTCAGTTTACATCCTGTTAAAATTGTATTTCTATTTATTTTCTATTAACTTGTGCCTATCTATGAGATCATAGGTTCATTCTGAGCACTTTTCTAAAGCACAAAAGAAACAGCAACATCTGGACTACAATATTTCATGTGTTTAAAATAGCCAAGTTAGAAAAAGAACACTTCAACTATTATAAAGATGTTGGGCTGAATTTAGTCCAAAATGGACGGTAGCTTTCACCAGCATATAACCTGACTAAGCTGCCCAATAGAGAAAAATCTACCAGGAGCAGAGTTTGACAGTATACAACAGTCATAACATCCCCGCTTGTGGGCAGAAGAGAGTAACAACCCCCAAAGAGGGCAGATCTGGCCCAGGAAAGAGAATGGCATTGCGCTGATTCAGAACATCCCATGAGTAATCTCCATTGGGGCATTCATCCGGAACTCGGCTATGTTACACAAGATTAGCCATTAAAAGGATCAAATTAAACAATATACTATATATAAACAATATACTTCAAGCTAACATTCCCCTCCTCTACCTCTCAAGTTTGAATCACAGGCGGTCTGGCTTAGTGGCTGGAGCAAGAGTCAGGCCTAGTGGAGGCACAGGAGTCAGAACCAGGAATCAGAACCAGAGCCAGAGTCCAAATACCAGAGCCAAGGGTCAAGTCAGAGTCAGAACCAGTAATAGGAAACGGGGATAAGAACCGGATTACCTCAAGTCAGGGAAGGCAGACGCAGGGTTGGTTCCAAGGCAGAAAATAAGCTGGGAGAGGACTGGAAAAAGGCTGGGTGCGGGGGCAGGGTCTAGGCCACATCAGGATAGAAGCAAGACAGTCGCAGGCTTGGAGTGCCGCAAGCACAAGGAGGCAAAGAATCCACAAGCGTGTGCTTTTAGCAGCCAGAAAGCTACTGCTCCTGCTGGGCGTAAGAACCAGCCTTCTAGTTTCCTCAGCCAATCAGGCAGGGCGGTCCACCAGGCAGCTTAGCTTATTTGTAAGCCTGTCATGAGTTGGAGCACCTGCAGGGCCTTACTCCTGATAGAACATGTAACAATTTGGGGAATATGTCTGTACAACTCATGAATTCTGTGTGAGATTAACTCTCTCTATATATCTTTACCAAGCTGCAAACTCCATTTTGAATGTACAACCCTTTGCCTCATCTGTTTTCTGTTAGTAGCATAGTGGTTTTATATTTGATTTACTCATAAAATTTTCCCTTCAAGACAAATACTGATTTATTAATGTATTCCAAGTATGAATGCAGATATGCTGAGGATATCAATACTTATATCTGATGTTTTATAAAGATTTATTGAACCAAAAGAAATAAGAAAATCATATTTGTATTTCTTTAGCTACTCTTGTGAAATATTTGTGCTATGAAAGTGATTACCCTAAGGGTATGTCTACACTACCGCGGTAGTTCGACGGCTGGCAATCGAACTTCCGGGTTCGATTTATCGCGTCTGGTCTGGACGCGATAATTCGAACCAGGAAGTGCTCGCCGTCGACTGCGGTACTCCACCTCAGCGAGAGGAGTACTGCGGAGTCGACGGGGGAGCCTGCCTGCCGCGTGTGGACCGCGTCTGAACCGCGGTAAATTCGAACTAAGGTATGTCGACTTCAGCTACGTTATTCACGTAGCTGAAGTTGCGTACCTTAGATCGAATTGGGGTGTTAGTGTAGACCAGGCCTAATTTACTTATGAGTAATCACAGACATTTTATTGCAATGCATTCAACATCAATGCTATATCAAAATCATTTTTTATGTACAGGTTTGCTTCTATGTATTAGGAACTTATTGGAATACCTTTGACAATTTGCTTTGAAGGTTGTCAGAAGAGTCAAAAGCAACCAAGACTGCAGTAACTTTGTGTATAAGAGATGGTAACCTATGAACCAAAACAAATGGCTACATCCAAAATTGTTAGTTGACATTCTATAAGAAACATGGAAATATTCTGGACTCAGAGCAGAAGAATCTGCCTTTGAAATTTGCGAGGTGGCCACTTGGTCATCTCCATATATTTTGATCTGCCATTGTATCTGTTTCTCTTCTGCTGACTTTTGTTGGCTATTAGGTGTTCTAAAAGCTATCATCAGGTAAGCTCTGACTCTCTGCTCTCAACACCTTCTCTCTTTAATTGTCAATATGTAGGATGGGAGAAGAGGGAATGAACAAGGGGAATTACTGATGAGTAATTCTGTTTGTTGCATCTTCTTTCCTCCCAACCTATATCACTTCTCTCTCTACTTGGAAGCATCTCTTGGTTTATTTTTTTCCCTTAATTTCTCATCCATTACTTTGCTCTGGACATTTTTAACTAGAAAAGCATTTGGTAGATAGGTTCTTTATATACTAGTTTTGACTGATGGAGCTTTTGCCTCGTTGCTTGCTGTGGTGACCCAACTAGGCTAGACTATGCTAACTGTGAGAGAGGCAAAGCCAAAAAGGGATCATTTTAAATGTTTAAAACTTTATAAGGGAAACCCCCCAAATTGTATCAGGAGCATCAATAATACTGAATATTACCAAAGCCTTACTACTTATAATAATAACCTGTAGGTTACCAACTTATTAACCTTTGTGAGCTTGTACATGCGGTGCAGGTAGTGCCAAATGCATTGCTAGTAACAAGAACGAGAGAGATTACTTAACAATATACTGTGTCACTTCACAGAAGAATAAACTTTTCCTCTCCTTGGCTGTAAGTCCAGCTCTACTCTTGCTGTCCTGTTCTTTGTTTCTCTTCGGCTTCAATGTTCCCATGGCTGAACCTCTTTGAATAGAGTTTATCCGCAAGTGGGGCTTCTTCACCTAGTGGGCCCTCACTTAGATCCAGTAGGCACCTTTGAACTGTACTCCTTCAATAGATAGATGTTCAAACAGTCACTCTCTCTACTCATTTACTGTAGGTCATTTGTGGGTGGGCTTCTCATTTACTGTTGGATCTGTTTTCATCTAATGCAGCTTTTTGATCAATTCCCTTTTTCACCTATTATATTTCCTTTCAGATTTTTCCCTTTATACACTCTCCCCAGTATATCTGTAGATTTTATTTCTCTCTACTTCCTTTCTCTAATAGTGCCTTCTCACATACCTAGGTCTATTTTTTCTACTTCTCCTAACCTGAAACCTTTCCTATTTTCCTTCCTTCCTCCTTCTCGCTTCCCAGTGCCCTACTTTTATTCTCCTGTTCTTCTTTTATTGTATTGCCTCCTCTCCTACCCAGGCACCAGTGCACATGCTACCTCAGCATCAACATTCTTCTCCTTGTCTAACAGATTTTATTCCAACTGCCCCTTCAGGTGGATTCCAAGCACCCTCCGCAACTTGAGCTGCCCTCTTGTTGTCTCTCTCTCCCCCCAAGATAGCATTCATTGATGCTGCATCACAGCTACAGCAGGTGCTAGTGCCAGGGTGTGGGTTACTACAATGCTATCAGTAACTACTGTTGCTAGCTAAAATGGGAGAAGAAGGAATTATGACAAACAGAATTCCTGGTGAATAATTTTCCCATATGAAATCTAGCTTGTCAGTTTTGTTCATTGGCCCTTCATTTAAATTTTTCACATCTGAAAAACAAAATTGGAAGTACAGTCAGATTACCTAAAACTTGGTTTGATTTATTAAATAAGGATATCCGAAACAGCTATAAAGATAGCTAGTTTATAAGATAGTAGCTTGACTTTTTTTCTTCTAATTTGATTAAGAATCAACAAATGTGAGTTGGAAGGATTAAGTAAAGCAACAAGG